TCTTTGAATTCCATGCAACATTGTCAAACTATCTTTAATTGTACAGTGTATTGTGTACATTCTGTCAGTGCTTGCGCCAGCAGAGAGAAATTTGATGACTAGCAAATCATTTTATTTGATTTTGTAATAATTTTAGGGTGTTTTCCATAATAAAAACTAATTTTCATCTATCAAAACTCTCTCTTTTTTATAGTCCTAAACATCCTTCACTCATTAGTCTCGTAAAGCTTCAGATTTTTGGCCTAAATTGGGTCGCAAATTTGATTGTGTTCGGCTTGCGCGCCGCTGCAGTTTGAGTTTTCATGATCTTTTTGCGATTGGCTGAACAAGCTCAGGCCAGCTCTCCTGTTGCAGTTTTTGCCTGCTAGCTCGTGGATTGATGATTGAGCTGGCTGCCGCCTGGTGGATGCCACATTCCACGGCTGAGCTTCTGCCCAGCAATTGCTACTTCCGCCATGGCAATTGTGCTCGGGGAAGGGTTACAACGGAAAGGGGGATGCGGAGTGGTCTAAATTGAATGCAACGGGGTGTAGGAGGAGGAGGAGGAGTCGGAGGAGATGGAGCAGCAGGAGGAGGGCATCAGATTGCAGCATCTACCGCGCGCTGCATAATTTATGGCGCCTAGTGTGCACCCCGACCCTCGGACTTTGAGACCCCAGGACACCAGGACTACGGGCTCCCTCCCCCTAATACTTTTTTTTCTGGTTCTGGCTGTTGTTGGAGCTTCGAATTTGTATGTTGCCTTTGACACCAGCTAAAGGGGTTACGTGTCTGCCACTTCAGCGGCATCCTGCTCCACCCTTCGTCCTTCCAAAAAATCCGAAAAAACCCCCTGAAATCCTTCGCCGCCCATGTCTGCGTCTGTTTTCGAACTTTGCAGTTTTTTCGTGCCTGGGAGTTTTACAGTTTTCGGGGGTTTTCCCGAACCCGTCGTGGCCATCTCGCCCATTGCCTTGGCCGTTTTTCAAATGTCTGCGCCATGTGCATGCGAAATTTTCAAATGGCACCCAAAGGGGCGTGGCCCCCACACACTACACTCGCATACTCGCAGACCGGGACACTCGCACACTTGCAAACTCGCAGGCAGACAGCGCGATAACCTGTGCTAATGAAGTGTGATGTTGGCCAAAATGTGATTCCCTTTGCCATTTCTTTGTGACCATTTCCAATCCCCGGATGCGTGATGAATTCTAATTATTTGGTTGGCAAAAGGCACCTTAAACACAATTTTTAAAATATTTTTTGTGAGCTTTGAAGGTTTTTATATTTATAAACAGGGCTTAGGATAATAAATAATATTTTATATATTTTTTGGATCTTCTAATAAAGTATTCCCAAAAATTATGATTATGTTATTCTAAAATGTTTTTTCCCTGTGCTAATACTTTCAGGATATTCACAGAAATTGCTTAGGATTTAAATTCAATTGAAATGGTGCTTAAACCTGTTATACGTACCTAAAACATAACTCGTTTTAATTTAATTTTAATATAGGAAACATTTTTGATTGATTTTAAATCCTCTAATTTCTACTCCCTTCAACTTTATTGCCCAGAAAATATGTTGTATTTCATTTGGTAAATACATAGAATTTATTATTTATTACTATTTAAAATATTATACATGTTGCAATAAATTTTTGTGAATTTAGCTCGCGTTTTCCCCGCTATTCAATGTGCGCTTTGTCTTATTTTTACCCGGCGCCCTCTTTTTTATACATTTTGAGAGCTTTCAAAGTGCAAATTGATCAATCATACGACACGTATGCCGGCGCTGGGCTAGTGAGTGTGTGTGTGCATAATAAACTGATTTCAATGGCTGCCAGTCTTTATGCATTAATTTATCCCATATTCAGCTTACAGCCCCCCCTCTCGCAATATAATTTTTAATTTTTTTTATATAAAATTCACATCACGCTGATGATGTTGATGCGTTGATGTTGTTGCTGCTTTTGTGGCTGCCGCTGCGTAACATTTAAAATATGCACAGTAACTAAAAGTATTTTTCACACAAATTGAGTTTGCCCCAGCCTCGTGCCACGCCCCGTGTCCCTTCCCTGCGGCAATGGCAAAAGTCGCCGTCGTTGGTGCTTTGGAATTGCCAATTTTGCTGCCAGTCAACGGACGCTGCTCTTGATGTTGCTGCCTGAAACTGATGTTGCTGTTGCTGCTTCTGTTTGGTGCTGCCACTGGCGACATGGAAAATTTGCTGCCATTGCCAGGCGTCACTCAGCTAGGACGTAAGAGCAGCGAGCGAACACAAAAAAAGGAACACAAAGTCAAGTCTTGCAACCTAAAAATACCTGGTTGGTAAAAAGCATAGCATACCTTTTGGGGCTGCACTTTGAGCAACGAATTGATGTCCTGTGATCATAATAAGTGTCCGATCGGGATGCAATTTTTTAGGTGCTTAGAAAAAGGTTAGGGGATACTATTGTTGTTCAAAGTAAGTAGGTTTTATTTATAAATAAAATAAAATAAAATTAAGGAACAACTAGGAATGAAAGGGTTAAAAGAATTAATAGTTTTAGTTATCCGTCTAGCTTTAAAATGATTTGAAATAAGGCAATCAAATTACACTTTACTTCTCCCTTTTAAACGCACAAATATCCCCTGAGAACCCCACGAGTACTGGGTATAATAGCAACAGCAAAAAACACGAATAATACCAGCACAAAGAGCCCAGCGTATTCAGTCGCCGAGGTGGTGGCATAATTTAATAGAGTCGGTAATATCAATAAATTTTAAAAGCCTTTTAATGCGCATCGATAAAAATAAAGCAGACGCATCTTCGGCGGCATAATTATCCAGAAATGAGAAGCTCAAACCGGAGTTGTCGTTTGGTTTTTGGGCTCCATAAATTATCCATCCAGCATCTGATGTCGGGCGCTGCAAGACCAAATTCAATTATGCAAATCGCATGTGAGAAATTCAATTGAAATACGATAATTTCCGAGGGAGTGTTTCCCCATGCCTTCGTTCAGCTTTAAGTTACTGAACGCTGTACAAGTGTACTCGCATTAAGTATGTCCCAGTGAAATCAGCTCAACAACATCAGCTCGAAAACTCCGCGGCTCAGCATATCCCCATGGAAATTTGCGCACAAAAGCCAAGAAAGCGGAGTAAAAAAAATGCTATAATAAGTAGCGGAGCTGAGCGATAAAAGTGTGGATAGCTGTCGTTCATATGCAACCGAAACAATGCAACAATGCGCCCAGCATCCCCCGTATCCTTATCAACCATCACCAAAGACAATGTGCAGCATCCCCATCGGTTTTTTTTTTGTTTTGGTGGTACAGGATGTTCATGGGTAGCCTGAAATGCACCAACGAAAATTCATGGCATTAGGGGAATGCCAAACGAGCTGGGCAACATGGCAACGGAATCAACTAAAAAGGAGTCGGGGTATTTAGAGACAGATTAGAGCAAAGTGAAAGAATCGACTGCAGAATACTCTGACTAGATTTGAAACTATACCATAAATTGATCTAACGCACTTTATATTTAAAATACAAAATATAACAAATAAGATGCAAGCTAGAAGCGTATCTTATTTCTTACAAAATCTTTAAATTAAACTTTATGCTGCCTTATCCTTCCAATTCTTACCTTAACCTGACCAAATCTCCCTGCTCTGAGCTCTATCCTCCAGATAATAGTCCAAATACCTAAAAACCAGCTTCTCCTCGCCAGAAAGTAAGCTGGCTTTCCACACCAATATACCTTCGACTTTGCTGCAGCCAACTTGAACTGATTCCCATTAGACTGTGATATATATACATGTTCGCCCGGGTCTGTGTGGATCTCTGTCCTGTCTGCCTTAGTTGTTGACGATTTGGTAACTGCAGCAGTTAGCTGCTCCCTCTGCTGGCTCAGTTGCAACTCCGGCTGGCAAGTGCCTTTGGCTTATAAAATATTTAAACGTTTTTGTGGCTTTGGCCGCAACATATTTGCACTTTGGGGCCAGGAGCTGCAACGGGTTGTACTGTCTCTTGTGCACTTCCTTATGTTTTCTTGGCACAAAGGCAAATAAAAAGAAAAACTGAAAGAGAAAGGGTGGAAAGTTGCGCCCGGATGCATGCTATTAATATTGTGCGACAGCTGGCTGGCTGCTTAAATATTTACTCAATACGCAGGGAAAGAACTACAAAAAAGCCACGACTTGTCAGTTAACCCATGGAAGCACGCCCAGCTCGCTTAACCCCCCCTATACTGGTGGCCGCAGGAGACCCGAGAAAGCCCCGATATGCTAATACGGTTATGGTTACTGCCACTGCTTCTGCTGCTGCTGCGGCTTCTATTCTTTGCGGTTGTCCTTGTCGTGTTGGCTGGAGAGGAAATTTCATTATGCCAATTACTTGCATCAAAGCTGCTTGGATAATTGACTTTGCTTAGCCCCGAACCTCCAGTCCCCAACCTTCAACCTTCCTTTACTCCCGCTGGGTTTGCATAAGACGCCTTTCGCACATTAGCCGCTACTTGCGCTGTGTGTGAGTGTGTGTGTGTGTGTGTGTTGTGGAGGTCCTTTCCACTCTCTTGCTGCATAAAATAATTAAACTTAATTGACAGTTTTTCGACATCACCTTTGTCGCTTCAGTGTGACAAGTCAGGAGACTGCTCCTCCTTGTCCTAACGAGCTTAACTTTTTAGCAGCAAGTGCCTGCTTAGTTTTTACGGCGAAAAGTAACTAGCTCTATAACTAGCCAGCAGTTAGCTGCTTTACTCAAGTTTAATTCTCGCCGGCGGAATAAAATACATTTTAAGCAGTGCAAGGCAGAGGAAAAAATAGCCCAGCCCGGAGGACTACAGCCAAGGAGTCGGTCTACACAATGCATAGTTAATTAAATTAATATTTGCCTTGAATTAAAGTCCAGAAAAGCTGACGTAAGAGAGAGGAAAAGGATCATCCCACAGTAGATCTACAATTTTCTTTAAATTATGCTTTCTTAAGAGCTTAATGTATTTTTAAAAAACTAAAAATGTATCAAGGTATCCTCCAGCTTTCAGTCACTTTCACTTCTTTATTTACGTTTAGAAATACAATATTCAAAATCAACACTTTAAAAAATTAACCAAAATTGTAGTGTAATCATTTCAAACTTCTCAGATTCTATTATTTCCGTTCCCGGCAGCCAAAATGAAGATCTATCCGAATGCAGATGTCTGGTTCTATGTGGACGTGGAGAGCGGTATGAACAGCTATATGAAATACCCTCCAAACCATAGCTGGAAGATCAATAACAAGACCATCTCTCGGGAAATGCGCTACTGGCGCGACTCCGAGGGGATCAAGAAGGCGGAGATCAAGCTCGAGGATTTGTATTTCACTGACTTTCCAAAGAATCGCATTCGGCCGCAGGCCTGTCTGGGATTGCTCTATGCCACCGGTAACCGGTTCATCCGACTGACCAAGGCACCGCCGGCAGGCTTTAAGTGCGCCCCGATGCCTGTTAATTTGGCAACAGCGCGCATTGTTAAAAGTATTATTTATATATTATATTTTAAATATTAATATTAATTTATTTTATTATTATTATAGCGCTGCTGAAGAAGAAGGCCAGGGCGGAGAAGAAGGCCAAGAAGGCGGAGAAAAAGGCCCAAAGGGAGGCCAAAAAGGCCCTCAAGAACAAGGGCAAGGGCAAGGATGGTGTTAACGATGCCAAACCAAAGGTTATCCAAACCTACAAAGACGCGGAAAAAGCTAAATAATTAAAAGTAAAATAGTATTCAAAATTGTACTTGTTTAAATATAAATTATTTCGAACTTTTTTTTATTATTTTGTATCTTATTTTTATAATACTTAAAAAATAAATCAACATTCTGATTGTTTATCAATCAATTAGCTCTGAGGATTTGATTGTGGCTTGTCTCACACTTGGCGGCACGGTTGGACGGATTCTTAACTGGCGCTTTTAACAGCCTTGCTTCCATTCACCCCTTCCCTCCCCCTTTTTGCCGTGGAACTCCCTCCGGCTGCCCTCGCTCGGCTGATTGCCTGCATTTAATCAAATTAATTAATGGCACATTTCACATTCATCATTTGCCCGGCTGCATATTTTCCCATTCCCGGCTGATGCTGCAGCGAAAAGCCAGTGCTCGAGGCTCCTCCATCCGCGGCCCCGCCCCCTCGTTTATCCCACCCCTCCACATTTACCCTTCCCTTCACGACTGATTGAAATTGCATGGCAGTCTCCTCTTTTATAGAATGCAACTTTTTGTTGCGGATTTTTTTGTTGCTGTATTCAGTCTCATTCTTTTTTCGGCACAAATCAACGAACTGCAAAATGCAATTGAAAATCGTTGAATGCAAGTTAATCAGTTCGCTTGGCTACGCTAATTATGTGGCCAATATACATATGTGGGTGTGTGTGGTGTACGGTGGGTGTACGGATGGATGTTGTGATGGTACATTTACAAATATTCATGCGAAACCGTGTGTGTGAATTATCGGGCAAAGTAACCAAATTATTTGGTTGACGAATGGTCTGCAATTTAAATTCGACCGAATTGATGACATTGGTTGACGTTGTAAATTGGTAAACAAACAACAAATTGAGCTCGGTTGAAGGCTATGCGGTTACAAATATTAAGAACCGTTTGCAGATAAAATATCTAAGAAGAATCCTGCTCAAAGGGACAGTTGTTTATTTCTCCTATTGTAAGTCAATTTATATGGAACTTCAACATAAATCCCAGCAAACATGGCTCTCTTAATCTTTCTTTTACATTTTAGATAAATTTCTTGCTTCTCCCAGTGCTTCTCCTGTAAATACATAAAGTAATGATCATATATTAGTACTAAAGTCACATCACAAACATGGAGAAGAAGAAACCTACTCCCAAGATCCAGAATGAAGACCGACAGAATTTTGTGGCTACCCGAATGAGCCTTCCACTCTTTATGGTTTCTCGTAAGACAAAATTCCTAGATTACTAGGCTCCCAAAATTAATCGTCTCTTATAATGTTTTTAGGTAACCGCATTAGAAAAGATAACTTGGCTAGTGTGGGTAAGCAGTTTAAGCTCGCCGGCCAGCATTACAATGTAGACTGTCGCAAGGGTAAGGTTTTGTTATACATTCAAATGATTCAAAGTTAATAATCTTCCGAAATCCGCAAAAGAGAATCACCTTGAGGCGGCCAGCAATGCCACATTTGATCGCTACCGTCACATCACGGGCTATGACAAGCGGCCAGAGAATCCGTATCCGGAGAGGCGTCCCCTACGTGCCGATCGTAGTATGACCAAGTGGAGGAGCTGGCAATTGCCACCGAATCACTATGGTGTGCCGCCGGAGCCCTTTCTCCGCCTGAGGGGCACCAAGGGTACCGTGTTCGCCAAGCCGCACACAAACCACAGCCGAGTGTCCATCAAGCCGCCACCTTACCACTTTTATGAAATTCCGCCGGAAACCGATCGATTGTTCAACCGGGAGAACCAACAGAAGGGCAAGTTCCTGTCGAGTAAGTAAACCCCAAGATCCTTTGACGGTACCTATTAATATACCTCTTTGCCTGGTTCCAGATGCTCGTGATCAGCGGCCGACCACTCGTGCCATGATCTCCAGTCTCTCTGGATGCTATCGCGATCCCATGGATCCCGGGCCCTGCGAAACCCACACTGACTTTTATGAACTGAATGCGAATGCCACACCCATAACGAAGACGGCCAGTCCCAATCCACACCTGTTCGGTCGGAGGTCCTGCGTGCCCGCACAGATCAATCAGAAGATTCGGCGTCACATCAGCATGGAGCCGGCACCGGGTCGTTACACCATTAGCTACCCGAACGTGTGTCCGTGTCCGGCGGGTAAGACTAGCGTTCCGGCTCTGCAGCTGCAAATCGACAAACAGAAGAGGCTCAAGTTCCGGCGGCTGCCATTCGAACGGATTAGCCGAAAGACTCTCTGCGAGCCGGACTGGCGCCACGTGCCTGGGCAAGGACACCGGCACATCTTCATTATGGGCCAGCGGGACAAACCGAAGCCACCGAAAAAGCCATCAGCGGCTGCCTCCAAGAAGCCCGGCAAGCTAATCGATATGTTCGCAGACTCCAAGTACATGAACATGATCAACCAGCCCTATCGCCACAACATCTCCATTCGGGTTCTTCCGGTACCGTCGTACGTGCCCAAGATCACCTACAACTGTGCCGCCAAGCGTGTGGTGCGCAAGCAGCTGAAGAACAACAAGAAGATAGCTTTTAACAGTGGCCAGGAGCGCTGGAAAGATGCCGAGCGACCGATGCAGCTGACCAACCGGCAGCTGGATGCCATCAAGGCCAAGCTTCCGGCGGAGCGGCGACTTATAGACCATCCCATTGATATACCCGAAGACCTGACCAGCCGTCTGACTCATGTGCCCGACCACCAGAGGGTCACCTATATGCCAAAGCTGCGCAAGCGGCTATTCAAATTCCTACCCATTCCCACTGCCCGGGTCCTGGTCACCGATAGCGACATACGCCCGAATATAGTGTTCGATCCGGAGAAACCGACCGGACTCTACCGGCGCAAGATCGAGGAGTCCATGTTCTTTAAGGACTCTGTGCTGCAGGCAATGGAGAACAAGGAGAACGAACTGGGCGGAGGCACGAGCGTCAACACGTCGGCTTCGCAGTCTCAAATGACATCGGCCCAGACCTCCCAGGTGGACGTTTCGTTACGAAAAACCGGATCCACACAGTCGGTTCAAGCTTAAAATTGCTTCGGCGCTCTGCTTCACGTTTGTGCCATTTTAAAATCCTTTTCGTTTTTGATTTATGCTCCACGCTCGACCGAATCCACGTGGCCAAGCACCAAGCGCCAAGAAAAGCGCAGAGATGGTCGAGGGAAAGCAGCTGGAAATACCTTAAATAAAGATGTGAAAAATTATCCACTTGGAAGATCTGGTTGGGGTTTTAATTGCAAAAGGGGGGAACAGTGATGGGAACTTGTTAAAAGTGATTTAAATCGATATCAAATGTTTAAAAATGTTAAAAATGTAATTTTTTATCTATTTATTACAAAATAGTAAATACCTGTTATTATAAACCTTCGGTATGGTAAGGTAAGGTAAGGAGAAGGTAAGGAGTGTTTTTAGCCAAAGAACATTTAAATAAATAAGATGCGTAACGCCGTTTTATTGCACTTTAATGTAAGGGCCTATCTTGAGAGCAGAAGAGCACGCGCGTTACGCATCTTACTTATTTACTTCACTTACTTACTTTAGCTTCTAGGGAGTCGAGTGCTCAGCACTGGCTATCCGACTGGGGGACTAGAGTTTCCTCGCCTTTCCGGCATTTGCTGCCATAAAACAGGCCAAAGTAACTTTCGACCATAAAATAAATAACTTTTTTAACTGTCCATCTCGCCGCACTTCCCCTTCGCATCCGATGGCCACACACGAAGACAAAAAGGTCAAAACGAAATAATTAAGTTTTGCAAACGTTTTGCGGGTAACTAGGATGCGGAGACGGAGACAGGGTAGGGCCGTATCCGGATCCGGATCCACATCCGGGTGCTCTCTACGTGTGCCCCGGCTACATGCGGCCATTAAAATGCTCGTATTATATCTCCTCTTGCTTAGATTGTAAAACATAATCTGTTATCAATTATTTTAGCTTCGTGGCCTGACTGGCTGCCTGTGGATGTGTGGTGTGGGGTCGGGGTCTAAAACTTGCAAAGCGCTCGCATTGCACTTTGGGAGGGGCAAAAGTTTCCAGGACTCCACCACACATACACACACAGCAAGGACTCCACACGCGCGCAGATATGTATTTATGACTTGGTTAACATTTCTGGCTGCTAAGCAATTTTCCTTGGCTCTCCTCGGCTTGCCATAAAAATGGGCAATCTAATCGATTATCGAATTGAGCGACTGCACCCTGGGCCTAATTGAGTTCCCCGAGTCAAAAGTCCCGACTCAGCAGCTCACATTCGTTGAGCGAGCGAGTTGGCGTTGAGCAATCCTTCCCCTTGTTCCCCCCCCACAATCATTTTTAACATTTGGCGTAATCGGTGGCTAACACAAAGATTTTCCAACACTTTACAATATTGTTGGAACAATTTTGCTAAATTTGCCGTTGCTTGCGGTCAAAATTAATTCTTTTATCGCTTCCACGTCACTCTGCTGACCATGGGCCTCAAACGCTTCGTTTCCTCAATGCTGCGCAGTGCCCCGCTGCGATCATCCAAAGCCGGGGAGCTGGCCACCGGCTATCCCTCTGTGTTCAACGAGGACGGAATGTGGAATGCTAAGATGCTACGGCAGGTGCAAGGTACGACTGCAAATGTCCCAATGAAGCTTCAAGGACTTGCTGTGAAGCAGCAGCAATCCGAGCACATTGATGACGCCCCCTATCGACTTCCCCGCAAGCGCTGCTGGCTGACACAACGCAAGGATCCCAAATTACTGGAGAAAAAATAAAGAAAATAATGTCATTAGATGTGTTTTTACAAACACTCCGCTGTATAAAGTTAATTATATTCTCTTATTTAACTAAGTCTAGGTATTTTGTTTGGGGCAGAACAGGGCAGGACTTTGGTTACCAAGAGTTAACGTTTTTCAATTTAATCATCAGCTATAACAACTAAATGCGGTTAACTTAAAATTTTAAAATGTACTTTTTATATTAAAATATTTGTGTAGATTTTTCTTATAAATAAAATAAGTACAATAGTATTTTCTTGTCTCCCCTTCTTCTTGACGCTTTCAATTCAATTTTTGTTTACCAGCTGCTGATTAACAATGCCAGCAGAAACCTTGGCTATGCGAGCATGTCCTGGCTCCACGTTCTCCTCAATTTCAAGGAATTATTATGGTTAATGCCCGTGCCATTGTTGTGCTGCATGCCCCTCCTCATGTTTTGCCCCCACCTCATGCTGTTGTGCAAATATTTTACGCGACACACGGAGCCGCACAAAGCCAGAGCGCGCACAAGTAAAAGTAAATTATAAGCAAAGGCAGCACAACAACGCAGGACTGCAACAATGATGCAGTGCCATGTTGAAATGCAACTGATTGTGCGCGAAAAGTTTTTTGTTGATGCCACGCGCCGCGGAAGAAGCAGAAAAGACAGCGCCCGGCTTTCGGTTAACATGACTTATTATTAAGGGGGGGAAGAAGTGGGAGTGGGCGTGGAAGTGGACCCAGACTTGCCAACTAGTTCAAGATGAAGTCGCGGTGGAAATGGATCAGAGCGACTGCCATGAAAATGGAGGCGGCGGCGGTGGGTTCCTCTTTTTTGAGGCGTCCCGCAACGGGAAACTAATATGCGTAGGTACCCTGGAAAATAAAGAAATGGAGTTTAATAGATAGTAAGACTGGAATGAAAAGCTTTAAAATTAAAATTCCTTTAAGCAAAATCCAACTGAAGCTATAATGATGTGAGTTAAAAAATAAATAAAAAGAAAACTCCAAGGTCTTTAATCATATCTTTAAATCAAAAGTTAAGTTTAGGTAATATCAGTAGGGTATAAGATCGTGGCGTATACCTTGCAACTTCATTGTTGTGGTGAACCCTCTTTCTGTCTTGTCGTATTTCGTGACTTACTTTTGTGGGTGTTTGCTTGTGTGTCGACCAAACAAATGAGCCACGACTCTGCCAGGGTTTTCACGTTCCTTTACCAGCTTTCTTCCCAGTTCATTCCATTCCATTCTTCTTGGCCAGGCATTCTTCCCAGTCGCGCTCAGCGTGGAGCAAAGTCTGCATTAGTCTATGAAAGTTGTATTCCCGTCTTCGGAGCTCCTTCTTTCATTCTTTGTCGGCGGTTTTTGTTTTTCAGTTGGCTTTTGTTTGGCTCCTTGTTGCAGATTTCTTTCTCGTCCTTTTCTGTGCGAAGTGGGTCACGGGGTCGTGGCGTGTGCAAATTGCAGTTGCCAGCGGGGGAGGGTATATGTGTGTTAGTGTGTGTGTGTGCAGTTGGAGGTCCTGCGGTTGCACTCGCTGTGCGTGCGTCGACATGTCGACTTTACATTTTCAAATAATTTCTGATTAAGCATGGGAGTGGGCTACAAGCAACCGCCTTCCCTTTTACTCTCCGGCCACCCTAAACCCACTCGGAAAATGCTATGACCCCCGCTGTGTGACAAAAGCAATGGGTGCAGCTAACATCTGTCTTGCACTGAAAAAAAAAGATCAATCATTTTAAGCTGGGATATTTGTATCGATAAATCGTTATTCTGTAAGAACTATCAGAGACGGGGTGAAAAAGAACTGAATAATATTTAGGCTATAAAAGTGTTTAAGTCTTAAAAATGGTTCTCTGATAATTAAATGATGATATATCAAAGTATTCGATAATTTCGATATGATATTGAGCCATTTATATATCATATCCTTTTTTTCTGATATCTAACAACTTTACTCTATTTCTTACTAAGAAAAATATATATTTTGTTTTGAGAATAATTAATTGATTTACATTTACATTTCTCTCAGTGTGTTCTCTGTCTTTTTTCGCTCTTTCTCTTCAAGGCAACATGCTGACATATTGCGGGGCATAATTTACCGTTGCTTTCGCCAGTTATTTCTCTTCTTCTGCCGCCAGTGTCCTGTGCTTTTTTTTCTGATTCTTCTTGCTCTCCCTCTTCTTCTGTAGCAGCCTGTCGCCGAGTGCAACTAATTTTTGTTTGTTCACGAAAAGCCACAAAGATTTATGCTTGAGAAATTATGCTTTAAAAGTTGAGCATATGTCTTCGTTGTTGCTCGCCGTCTTAAGTAATTTAATATACTTTAATGCCAGCTCACTCCAGCAGCCTTCCAGTACCTATTACCTTCTCTATATCTCGCTCTGGCCCACGTGCATAATGTATATTTAGTGTATGCGCATATAAAGGACATGCATTATGGGAGTTAGAGGAGGAAGGTGGCTAGTAGAGCGGGATAGACAAATGTTCATAAAAATGCAAATGTGCAAAATGGTGCGACGGAGAAAGGGAGAACAGGCGAATGGAACAGCGGGAGAAAGCGCGAAATCATAATGAAAGAGCGAGCAAACAGAAAAGGCGAAAACACACACATTCGGGCCAAAGGTTGTTGCGTATGTCAGTGTGAGTGTGTGAAAGCGCGTCACTTTTTGCGCTGACATTTTAAGTGCATCTTTGTGAAATATTTAAACAAAGAATAATTACACACGGCATTACGAACTTAATGCGGCTGAGTGCATGAAATACTCATCTCAACGTAAATGCATGCTCCCTCCGCAAGTGTCAGGGCTCTGTGAGTGCCTGTGGGGTCACAGGGCAGCTCAGCAAGGTGAAGGTAATCCGAGAGGTGCTTTTACTGGCTATTATTAGCTAGGTAATCTTGGTTCTTTGAATTTCTCTCAGAGTTGGTACTGTTAAGGAAGAGGACCTTGAGGAATTCATTGAGAGACTTTCCTATTTCTCATATTTTGCTAGTTTCCGCAGGACACTTTGCTATCGATTTTTTTTTCTCTGCAGTGACCGTTTCGTCAGGACTTCGACGAGTCAGGTCTTTGCGAGTCGGGACTTAGAGCAGCACCGTTATAAAGATTTTCAGTAGTTTATTGTTTTTATATGACTAAATACATGATTTATAGGGGTTTAAATGACTGCATTAATTAAATGTAATTTCGAATCAAATTTAAAAAAAGGCTCTTAGGTAAAAAACTCTAACAAATTATAATTTCCCAATTTTATAGATGACCCGGGCATTGGCCAAAACCCATTTGCATACCCATTCGGCACACACTATGGCTCTTCGACCCAAAGCTAATAGATGGCTATATTTCGAGTTAGTACAACATTTGGCATGTAAAATGTTTTTAAATTAACGCTAGGCTGTACAAATTGGCCAGCATGTTTGGCTGCAATTGCATTTTCCGAACCGAATCAGTTGGACTTCTACCTCTACCTCCGGCGATGTGCTGGGCTGGTAGATTGTTGTGACAAGGACTTCGGGATGGTTACCCATGGCTAAGCCAAAGTTATGGCGATTGCAGTTGGAAATGCACACACACACACACACACATGCGCGGAGACGGGCAGGGAAAATCAGTTCGAAAATTGAATTCGAATGCAGCAGGAAAGAAGGGGATGCAGTCGGGGGGGTCAAAAGGGTCCTCCGGATTGGGCCACTGGCATACCGAGAACTCAACTGGAACTCCACTGGCTGAGTGGACTCGAAGTGACTTTGTGCTTGCCATTGACTAAAACAAATGGGCTCCACAACATCTTTTACTGTCAGCTGCAACTTGTCGCCCTGTCCATTTGTGTGTGTGCCACACCCACCAACCCACCATCCCAGTTCTCTCTCGCTTTCTGGTATATAAATAAAATAAATATTTATATTGAAATGCAACGCAATCGAGCGCAACAGAATTGAATTTCAGAGCTTTGCTTTTGGCTTTTTGTGCCGTTTGCCTTTCGGCTTTTGACTTGTCCGCAGCTACTACCTCGGACGGCAGACGCAGACTGGCCAAAGGGAAAATAAAGATGCCGGGATCGAGAGATAGAGAGATATACCAGATGGAGAAGCGAGATGAGACGGCAGCGATTTTAGTTTCTCAAATTGAATTTTGCCAACTTTGTTTGGCATTTAATTGCATTGCAAGTTGCGTTGCAATTTCAATTGATTCCGAATGAGCTGAGTGCTGCAGGTGAAGCGTCCCCAAGAAAGTGCCCCGGACGATGGCCATCCCATTCAATTGGATTGTCCTTTAAAGCGTAATTCCAAATAGTTTTGCTGTTAGTTAGTTGACACAACTTATGTGAATTTAACATTGTTTGCTTAGAGTTCACCTGACAGTTTGGCTAAGCAAACTGAAATGGAAAGACGAAATAAGGCATTGAGGCTGGAATCCCTTGTGGACATCTGGACAAACTATTGAATCAACTCAATTGCTTGAAATTTATTAATTTATATTGGTTATTTATTTATTTCCTATTTGATTATTGCTTAATTTTCGTTTGAACAAATTTGAAATGATTAAAATCGTACAGTTTTAGCTTGGGGAATTATAAGTCTTATTTTCAATGATTAATTGCTATGTATTTTACCAGAATAGTTGACAAAAATGATATTCCTTCAATATAAACTTGATTTATATTGCTGAGAATTTGGAAAAATATCTGTATGTGTCAGCATTTTCCTCCAACTTCTCCTAGGCATAGAGATTATAGGTCCTTTGTTTGACTTTCCAAAGCCTGATATACTTGTTTTAAAGGATTTCTCTGGAAAACAGGAAGCGGGGAAATGTTTAACATACATTATGCAGTAGCCAAGAGAGAAGAATATAAAATTACATAGCTCAACAAACAAAGCAACAAATTATCATTTAGATAATACTTTTTAGTGCTTTTCAGCACTGCCTCTCTCCCTCCGAGTGGCTTGCCCTGTCCCTGTCTGCCAGGCTTTCACTTACCTAACGCATGGAAATTTTTTCCATCTGCATGCATTTTCTTTGTGATACCAAGCAGGCGCCAACAAGAGGAGCATATCAGGCAATCAGGACGCCGCCAATGGAATTTTCCCCGGGATACCCAGAATTCTTTAGCCCATTTCTGGTGCGTGGTAAAAGCGCGTAAAGTAAAATGTAACTGGCATGCATGGAATAAAAAAAAAAAGGACAAGAGGGCGGAATGGGGCAACATAATACGCGGAATAACAAAAGCGGAAAAGTGTGTGCAAAAGCTGTCTAGAGGAGAGCTGCCAGCCAAGGAGATAAAGGATGGAAGACGCTTGGCAATGCAAATGCTCCTAATGTTCGCTTTATGTCTTTGTTTTCGCTACTCAAGCAGCGGAGAGATGCGTACTTTCCCGGGGGACTACGAGAGTGTGTATAGCTAGGAGCTGTACATCAAATTGATTAGTGGTAGGAAACTGCAGAACAGGAACTGCAGAGCTGCCTCACAACTTTTACGAATACAATTTTTGCCATCGCAGCTAATTATTTGCATATTTCTTTTACCTGGCCTGGACGTGCGACAAGAACTCCAGGAGTTGGTCCTAATTTGAAAGGTTTTTCTCTACTCTCCACCCTCCACCACCCGCTCATTGCTGACAAATGCAAATGTCAGCAGAGTGTTGGCAACTTTTTCATTTTGCAACTCTGCCAGGACTTGGGTTTGCAGTTGTCATTTTGCGTTGCGCAAATGTCAAACTTATAGACGCTAAGCCACGTGCCAGAGGAGGCCAGAGACCTCAGATCCGACCGACTCACCTTCATCTACCCCATTTTCCATGTCCCGGCTTTCCGCTTTCCACTTTCCACTTTCCGATTTTTGCCCCCCAACCCTCGCTGCGTGGCATGCCAATGTTGCACGTTCAAATTAACTTTAATGAACCCAGTTTAGTTGCAAATGAGTTACAGAACTCGAAAAACACATCGAGACGTGTTTAGTGAGCAATGCACAGAGCTGGAGAAGGGCCATTATTATGTTGGCTCAGGTGATTTTAAGCACTGATAGGTAGTACTGAGGTGTTTTGAGTTGTATAAAATGTTTGCCATAGAAATATAAGGAGCTTGTGTTGCGACATAAGGAGCATTTATTTATTGTTTGTAGTTATATTTTTTGCAGCTTTAATCGCAAATAATTTGAGATATTACACGCCTGCAGACCAGCCTTTAAGGTATTTTAATAAGTCGGATTCATTTTTATCAAATTAAAACTACTATTAATATATTCTTCATATTCTCTAACAGATATAACTTTTAAAAAGCCATCGATTAAATCCTTAAAGTTATACCCAGGTTCTTTTAAAGAATATAGTTCAAACCACCGATGCTCCTTGGAAAACCAAACCCCAGCCTGCCTGTCATCCCAAAGGAGGCGCCAAGACCCGTTGTTGAATTTGAATTTGAATAAAGGCAAAGCAAAAAAACCCCAAATATGTACGAGTATCTTGTATCAAATGTCAAGTTTCGTGTTTGTGACAGTTCAAAGATTGCAAAAATTTCCACACTAAGGTGCGTGCGGCGTAAAGTTGGCCGTAAATGCCGATCCGGGTATCGCCCACCCGAAATAAATATTCGTTGTTGAAAGGGACATAAATAAATATGCGAGAAATATCGGGACAGGACTTTCACTTAGCCGACTGCCCAACTTCCATCGCCTTTTACTTTCTGACAGTCATGCTTATTTATGGCCCCGCGGCCCCTGAGTAGGCCCTTTCCAATTTGCCGGAATTTTTAAGCCGCTCCAATTTATTGGCCGACTGTGTGCCGATTAGCCAAATATCAAGATTATGCCTAAATCAGCATCGACAGCCAATCCAATTTCGTGGGCCACGCAAAAAGGCTTATGGAGGCGGTTCGTTGACTCTAACTCCTGCTCCAGTGGGCTTTGGGCCAGCATCCAAGAAAAACAGAAATTGAAATAACACCAAAAGATAACCAAGAGCAGTGGCAGTGTCGAGGGGTGCCAACAGAAAAAAGTGTGAAAACCGCAGCAGCAAACTGACAAAATGACTCTGCGACCAACGGACTGACTGACTGACTGCCCGACCGACTGTTTTGGTCAGGTCTGGTCGGCTCTGTGGTTGCGGTGTGGCAACAAATGTGCATGTGGCAATTGATTTATTCAAATGAAATCACAGCAAGAAAAGTCAGGCCGGGGAGATGTGGTCGGCAGCAGGTAACTTATGCACTTAGCCCAAAATAAACATCACGATGGCAAACCGCACAACTTAACTAGAACATATTCAATGCATAAATAGCAGGGAATAAAAACTTTATTTTTTAGGCTTACATTTTAAAGTTTTCTACTTCTACAACAATATTCCTATTTGGGAACATAATAGTTGAATTGGCTGACTCTGTAAAGAAAATAGTTATTTTTTATGTTCTTATAACTCTTATGTATTCCTACCTTATTTTAGCTTTCCTTTGTCGTCGCATTCCATATTGAAAATTTTTAGCACCCCATTTGTTCGATGAGCCATCACTTTTCCGGCAAACACTAGTTTCTGTTTTCCCAAAAATAACAAAAATGTGATCAAAAAAGCAGCCACGCTGAATATAGGATGGCTCTTGAGGGACTGGCTAAGCGGGACGACACTGGTGCGTGGATCCTCGAGCCAGGAATAGACGCCAATGATCGTCAAGTTGCTTAAAACAGTTAGGATAATGCGCCAGCGCAAAGTCAAAAGGTTATACGAGGAAACCACTTCAGTGAGACGTCGCTCAAAGGCTCGGAGATCTTCGTAATCTGGTGCTTCCGCCATTTTAATTTCTCAATTTTTTTGTGGGATTTCTTTCCTTAACAATTTTTCAAGACTTTGGAAACAAAAGTCATAGTCTTCTTTATATTATATAATATTTTATGTCTGAATTCGATTTAAAGTACTATATACACTTGTAATATAAGTTACTGCAGGCCGCTCCATCCCTCCAGGAGACCACTCCAACCCCAGGCGCCAATATGTGCATTGATCCAATTGCGAAAGGCTCCTACATTTGTGTAAACGCCCGGATAATTGGGATTGGCGCAGCCCAGGCCCCAGGACACAATACCATACAGCTTGCCTCGACCTCCTGCTCCTTCTCCTGTGGCTTCCTCTCCTTCTTCCAATGGATATCCCACCAGCGGTCCGCCGGAATCTCCCTGGCAACTGTCATGGCCGGGACGCGCAGCGCAGATCATCCGCTGGGTTATGGGTAGCACCCGACGGTAGGCATGCCGGCATTGCTGTGCCTCCACCAGGTCCACCTCGACGAAACGCAGTTGAGGGGACACGCCCGACACCTCGTTGTCCCCGCCCTCCTCCCCCTGGAAGCCCCAGCCGCTGACCAGAAGCCGGGTGGCCGGAGTCGGTGGCTCCATCTCTGTGGCCAGCGGCACCGGCTGCAGGTGTTCAGTGAAATTGAGCCTGGCATTCAGGATGAGCAGCGCCAGGTCATTGTCGTGGCTCTGCGGATTATAGCCGCCGTGGGTGATCACCTGCCGCAGGCTGAGTAGGTGGCCGCCACTTGCATGCTCGCTGGAAGCCACTCGGACGGTGTAATCCTCGGGGTTGTAGGGATCCTCGAAGCAATGGGCCGCCGTCAGCACAAAGTGGTGCCCTATGATGGCTCCCCCGCAGATGTGTTGGCCATGCAGCTGCACCGAAGCCTGGTAGGGAAACTCTTCAATGGTGGTCACCTCGCCACCCACAATACGGCCATCGCCGGGAAAGGGCGTGGCTCTAACAAACCAAGGCGAAAGCAGTACCGTGGCCACAATTGGTATCAATGAAATCATCTTACTGTCTGGCTGAGAAGTACTTCCGCGTCGAAGCTTTATATTGGCGGAGCGTTGGAACTTATCGGTGGTAAGTCAACAGCTCGGCAATAATGTTTGCCTTTTTTGCCAATTTGACTGAGGTTCATCTTATCGCAACTATTTGCTTGTTCGCGAAGGTGTCAAAGCCTCGTTATCTGACTTTGACCCAATAACCTTGGTGGTGGGGGAATGTGACAGCCAAATGGGGTTTTGTAAAGACAAAAGTATTTATCAGTTTATCAAGAGAGCAGTTTAAGGGGTATTTATATGTTTTGGGGTTAAAGTTATATTTACAATAAATTATGAAATAAGGGATATAAGGGACTTAACCTACTTGTTCCCTGTAGTTTTTAGAAATATCTTCTATCGAGTAGATCATCTCCTATGCATAAAACGAATCCTAACTAGATAGGCTTACCAATTATACAGAATTCCCAAATTAAGTAAGTTCAGCCTTGCTAGAGAAGGCTCACAAATCTCCGCTTAAGCGTGGATAAGAGCCATATTTCATTGTCCTTTGGTGTGGGTGCAAGTTGATTCAGTTCAGATTCAATGAATATGTTAACAACTCGGTGTCAGGCCAGGCCGAGACATGTGTATATCTGTATTATTTGCATAGAGTCAGTCAGTCTACTATTTCATTATGAGATAAAACAACCTGCTCGACACTGCCAGTAACGGCAACAACTTATTAGGTTAGACAAAAATGAATTGCATAAATATTTAAGGCCTGTATCCTTGGAGCCCAAGATAGGGACAAGATGCATTTTACAGATTGCAAGGACCAGCCAGTGAGCCAGCCAGCAAGTTGGCCAAGTGTCAGAGCGGGCAGGCACTAATTGTTTCATTTTGCCTGCCAGACAGTAAACAATTCCAGAATCCACAAATATATGCACACACTTGCCGAGCCATGTGCGTAGCTCCTCCGTGCCAGAGATGTTCGTTCGGTTTACATTTTAAGCAAAATTCAATTTGCTGCTGCTGACACATGAGGGGGAGAGAGGAGTAAGGAGTCCTTCAGCATGCTAATTGCCTGGCCAGCAATTAATTAAACATGGCAGGATTTAATAAAATGCAGGGCAAGAGCTTGGCTTACTTGATTCATACATTTTTCAGACATATTCAAAAGAAATTGGAATAATTGCAACACTTTTTTGCCATAAACATGATCAATCATTGTATAGCAACAAAAAGGCAGAAATTATTCTGAAAATTGTAAATAATCGTATTGTGCAAAGCTTCTCACTTGAAGTTTTAATTGTTTACATTCTTTAATTAAGAAAAATCTCTAAAAAATAAGTAAATGTTATGTTAAAGTGGCGTATACGTAATATTTTATTTACCTCCATTGCATTGGTTCGCCTGTGTAACTTTTAATTGTGGAAATTGTTGCAGTTAATTGCGTGTAATTGCGAATCCCCTCAGAAAATTCGTCACATAACTCTCGACAGGACATAAATCTTGAGTTCTGAGTCATGGAGTGGGGGTTAATTGCAGGGTAAAGAACATCAATTACCAAAAAAAAAAAAGGGGAAGGGAAAGGAAAAACAAGGGAAAGTAAGGAGGAACGAAGGCGAATGCTTGCCGCAAGCTCTGCGCTCTTGGCCCCATAAATTATGCAGTCAATTTTTTTGACTTTATTATAAAATGCGTGTTTATTATGCCATAAAAGCGAGAGCAAAGCGTGGGCGCCGAAAAAGTGTTGAAAAGTGTGGTAAAGTGTCAGTATTAAGCGTGAAATTAATTACAAACGCTTACTTAAGTTAAATATTTGAACGAAGCCTTAGCGCCGCGACAACACGGAAAAAGGAAGGGAGCCCCGGAGCAAAGTCGAGTCCTGGATCCGGCCGGACAGGTCTCCTTTCACTCGGCCAGGAGCTAAAGAAGTGGAGCTGGCCGTAAGACGAGCCACTTTGTCAGCCGAAACTCAACGCAGCTCGATGCTTCTCGACTTCACTTTGCCCGGGAGTCCCAAAATATACTGCCAACACTGAGAGAAATAAGGGATAACTTAATAAAGAAAATATTTATGCGTAAGTCAACAGGAATTTGGGTTTTTATTATTGAACAAATTATTTAAAATAATATTATTTAAAGAACAAATAATAAGCAAATTGGTTTGATTTTTTCTAGCATTAAAATATGCTTGAAGGAGCAACTGATGATATTTTTAAATAATTATATTATATTTTAAATAATAATATTAAAGAGCATTTCACTAGAATATACCAATGTTCATCAGCAAAATTGACTATTTGAATTTGTAGTGATTTCCAACAATATCAACAAAAAATTTCTGTTGTATGGGACTTGATTCTATAAATTCTATAAATTTGTTACTCTATTTTTCTCTGAGTGAAGTCTCTTTCTCGCATTTTTTCGACCCTATTTTCGGGACTCTTTTTTGTTTGGCTTTAAGCGCAAGTTGAACATTTCATTTGTCATGCTTTTTTTGCTGCTGCTACCTGGCTTCCTTTCCTTTTTAGTTGGACATCTCGCTTCCTCCCACGCATATGTTGCGCCCAAGTTTTTGACTGATTGCCGGGGACAACAGCAGCAGCAGCAGTAGCTACAGCAGCAGCAGCAGCAGCAGCAGCAGAAGCAGCAAGAACAACCACAGCAGCAGCACCAACAACAGCGACATCGAAGAAATGCTAAAAAATGTATGCTAACGGCAGTGTTGGTGGCATTGCTAACGGTAAAGTGTTGCAAATAGCTTTTTTGCGTTTCTGAATAATTTATAAGATGTGTTTACTCATGAAACCAAGTGACTAAGTGTTGCCACCAAGCGAAGGATGAAGCCGACCGGCGAAAGTGGAAAGTGTGGCGGTCAACTGATGGCTTGGCAAATGAAACACGATAATTTACTTAGGTGCAATGCGGTTGTTTCCCGCCAGTTTGTGGGCGAGAACTTGAGATATTGCTGCGAATGATTGGACTTTGAGTGGCAAAGAAAGCTTTTATCAACAAACTGAATAAGTTATGCGTACAATCTGCTGCGAGGACATCGAAGCCCCCACTCACACGGCAGCCATTTGCTAATTGTGCTCATTATCTGCTAAATGTGCGCAAATTTATGTGACGCACGCAGTTGCCTCACCAACTGATTTGATTACCCGTACGTGTAGCGGCGAGTGCCCGGCCACAGGCGGCAGGTGGATGAAGAGGTGCCAGCAAATTGAGTCGCTCTACCTGAGCACCAAAAGACTCACCGACAAAAAAAAATGGCTCATAAAACATGCAAAATGCCAGAAAAAAGAGCCTCCCTCCTCCGAACACACATCCTGCGCCTCTACTCTCCTTTCCTGCGGCTGAGAAGCTCATTAAAAATTCGTAGAGCGTTCTGTTAAATGTTCATGTTTTGCATAAAAATAAAGCTACCCGGAAAAAAAGAAAGAAAGTATAAAAAGAAAACGGGCCTTCGGGAGTTGGGGCATTTTATAGGCCATAGTGTTCCATGTGTGTGTGTGTGTGCTCTGCGGCGTGTAAATTCAATTGATTCTGTAATGATGCCGCATTTTAATTAACCCGTCGTATTCCAGGCATTTGCAATGAGCCGTAAATTGTGTAAATACGTAAAGTGCAAATTTGAATAGAAAGGGAAACCATGTTGTTACATTTTATTCCAGCAGCTCTTTTGTGCTAACTGAAACTACCATAACTTTTGTTCAACAACTCTAAACTACCAGTTTTCGGTTGCTGTCGAATATGTTTTCGTTAAAGCAATCAAACCAATAATTTGCCAACAGGAACAACAGCAATAACATAGATGTAAACGTAAACTGCAATAAAAACATATAAATCAAATCACAAAAGCCACAAAAATAGCCAACATCGAAGGCTGTGTGTCCCCTGGCAAAGTCGGGGGGGTTCCTTCCTGTAACTCAACGACTAAGCAGGAAATGCCATTGAAAAACACGTAATCACATAGACCAACATACAGGCGGCTCGCACACACGCACACAGAGTTGCCATAGATCCTGATGGAGAAAGCATAGAATTTCATTTCAATGCTTATTATATTTGTGCATTTTTTTTCTATTCGTGTCCTGCTGGGCGAGGGGGAGTGTGCTCGAACGGTGGTCAGCGCATACAAATGCAAAACGGAAATGACATGAGGGATAAATCAGGAAATTGCTAAACATCAAATAAAGCTGATAGCGTAACTTCCATACAGATTTGAAATCGAAGCTCTTGGCTTTCGACGTCGTCGTCGGCGGCGATGTCAACAATTCAAAATCATTGCAATGATGACGGGGCAAACAGCTGTGGCAGTCACTACTGTGCAGCGAAAAATTCAATTTTGCAATATGACATCCGGCGGCTGTCACACATACACACATACATGTGCATATACTCTTCGCCCGTACACACGGCGTATACTTAACGCCGCAACGCCTGAGTCAACAGGCCCCGGAGCGATTGACATGCCCCCATTGTTCGACGGCTTTTTAACTGCTAATGTTACGGCTCCTGCCACCGCCACAGCCAACTGCTTACGGCTGCCGACTGCTGACTGTTGGAAATTGGCAACTGGCAACTGGCTACTGGATCCTCTGTGCTCTGCTGAATCCTGGCCAGCTGCAACGCTGCAGTTTTCTGTCAAACAAGAGCTGCCATCGCTTTGGGGGCCGTTGCGTTGGAGTTCGAGCTTGTGGCGTTAGAGTCAATAGCAAGGCGCACGGCTCTGGCCAATTATGGCCAGGAAACATGGTGAAATTTCATAAAAGAGATGACGGAATTGATGGCAGTTCAGAGATGTAATTTTGGTTAATTTATCCGGAACAGGTTTTGATAAACTTACATATAGGCATAGTTTAAATACTTTTAATAATATAATTATTTTTAATTGAATTTTCAGACAGCAACCGAAATGTAACAGTTTATTTTTAATAGTTTATGATTATTATTAACCGCCCCATGGCCTGGCATTGCGTATACGACATGGGGCTCGGCTTAAACGTGGAAATGGGTAATTCCTTGAAAAGATTATTATATACATTTTTATATTTATTGTTTCATCTGTTTATTAAACCATTTATTACAAGTACAACTTCTCTTTCCCTATTAAACCGTTAGACTCTTTACAAAATGTCGTCAACCACTTGACGTGCCCCTTGCATTCAGTCGCCACCTTCAAGAGCGAACAACTCTCGTTGCAAAAAATAAATAAAATAAAATAAAATAAGCTGAGTAAATGACACTCGAGCTGCGGCGCTTTAGAAACTTCAAGTGAAGCACGGCACAAATTGTTAGGCATCGCGTTTGCCCCTCCCTCGGCGTTGTCAG